GATGCTTTTCTTGCACCCATGCTAATAAATAACTTTTAATATCTTTTGGAACTTCTTCATCCAGATTGGTACTGATTTTATCAATAGTTTTTCCATTAAGTTGAAACATTGGCTCAACTTTTAACACTGCTATATCATTTCCAAATAGTTCACCAAAGTAATAATGTTCGTGCCACATAAGATCTACAACATTATGACGGTCACCATCGATCAAGTCCATTTCATTGGTACCTACAACTACTGTGTAGTCTGTAACATCTTTACTTTTGAGAAAACAATGTGCTGCGCTCAGTACAAAACGTTCGTCAATAATTGAGACAGTACAGTAATGATGCCAGCTGTTGTCTTCCATGCGTTGCAAGGAACCCACAAACGGGACTGGTGTTTTTGCGACACCATCTAACTTAAAAGCTGGTATAATACTGAAATGCGTAATAAAAAGCGAGAATAGTGCAAATACAAGCTTACTCCACAGCAATCTACGACGTGTCTCCATAATGTGTTGTACAAAGTGAAGGAATCCGCGTATTGTGCCTTCATGAAGTCTGGGTCAATATTTTTATCATACTAACCTTTCTCTTTTTTTTAAATTTGTTAAATATTGTCGATGTTGTAAGGCATGGATAATGCCCATTTTCGCGGTTACAGTCGTAGATAATTGCACTGATTAATTGGCACGTATATATATTGTAGAAAAACTTTAAACTTTAACTATATATGCAAAAGCTTTAAATTATGAAAAACTTATTTATTAAAGGTATCTAACCCAAAGAATGGAAAATGAATCCATAATATATGAATCACAAAAAGTGTATTTGATTCATGAACTTTTTATATGTCTTCATATTATATAAAAAATATGCATGCCATTTTACCAAACTTATATCATCAAAACTATACTGTGAGATACATTGTATCAAAGATAACGTAGCATGAAAATATTTCACCAAACCATGAAACAGAATGGAAGAAAAAACATCTTAAAACATTTATGGTTTTGCAATATTATATAATATGATATGGACGATTGTTGATAACACCAGGGACGGAACATATCACACAAAGGGTTTAATGCATAGGCAGTCTATTCAGCAATTCAAACAGATTTCTAATTATAATACAATGATCTTCATTTAGTAAATGATGTAACAATAGATAATGGGTGGCACTATTTATTGAAATTTCATTTGGAATAACAATATATTCCATTTGTTCCACGACCCTATCTAATGTCCTGACTGTGCCTATGGATGCTATGGAGATTTTGATTATAAATTTTCATTTTTCTGTATGGTTTCATATTTTTTGCAAAAGCTTTAATAATTCAGTACCAAATACTTTCAGCATTCGATACTTTTTTCTGGTTAATGTACTATCTACCGACTCTTTTACTTAGTATTGCTATTCGTTTCGACTAATAAAATAAATGATTTGATTATAGCTTAATATTGTTGAAAATATTTGAACTAAAAAACTAAATAGATTTATTTATAACAGAGTAGTATGTATGTTGATCCTTTTTTCAAGTCAGCGCAACTGGGCACTTTTACTCTTTAATAGCTGGGGGTACTACAGGGTCCCATCTATCTCATTGACTAATTTATGTATTGCCTATAAGCTTCATGATTATTCAGTGATTGATCTAAGATCTGCGTAATACACTTTAATTCAATCCAGATTTCCATTCCACTCCCAAAGTTGCAAAGCTAGATCCATATAAAACTATTTAAGGCATTAGTGATATTACGACTATGGAAGGTGGACACTTATCTATAGACCCTTATATAAAGAATGTGCTTAAATTTGTGTTTTAATCAACTGAGAGAGAACTGTTCCAATATCGTGAACTATATGTGATTATTATATGTGATATGCGTAAGCAGAGCTTACAGAACTCTGTATCTATATGATTTTTGTTTATAACTAAAGTGAAGCATTGTATAATTGCTACCATTATTTTACAATCAATAAAATATCGTGGCTTTTACTCATGTATAATGTACAGTACATCTTTTAGCTGGATTCTTTTTTTAAGTAAGCTTGACCGATTCTATAAACTCTCAACCAATTGTTAAATTAGTGCTATACAATTATATATTACTACTTTTCCCAGTAAATACTGAGCCATCAATCGACACGTTTTTCCGAATTTTGAATGTTCGGTTTTTAAACTTTTTATTTCAATGTAATAGTTTTTACAATAGACATTCATGATATCTTAAGAACATTAACTCGATGAAAAATCCATACGACTTTTTATCAACTTTAACATATAGGTTTTCAGTGCAAATATATTAATTATATATATCGGAATCCTGATATAATATATAGTATACAAAAAAATTATAAATCAATCAAAATATGTTTTGTCACCTTTAAATTAGACGACTGACTATTTCTCCACATGTTTTTCATATGTTAACTTGGTTGAGATATAACTTAAGAGAATTTGTTTATTTGACCATAGGTTGATATGGAAACACCCTTCTCGAAGAGTTAATTTAAGCCATGCAATATCAAATTAGTGTAGAATTTGACAAATCATTTTCATTGAGTTTTCCACAAAAGCTCTTGTTCAAAAATGACTTCGTTCCAACACAAACTCAAGTTCTAAAAATTATAAATTCCGGAAATTTTTGACACAGAATGGATATAGTTATTTTATACAAATGACCCTTTAAAATAATTTAGTACCGTAATGATAAGATATCTATTTTTGAACAGAGAATTGGTTACATATTTAAAAAAAATGTTTATCTACAAAATTTTATTTTAAATTAAATTAAAAGAGAAAGCATATTTCAATAAACTGTTAATATATATCTTTTTTGATGATTTTTTACTTACATAATTTGTACCAATATTTCGATAAGTAAATATAGACATCCGAAAAATATTTCTTCCAACAAACTATTGAATTCTATTGAACTTATAGAGCTTTTATATATCATATATATATATTTAATCCTTCAATTTCTAGGTGGAACATAGAACCGTAGATCTTATAGATCTTCTGCTAGAAGATAAATAAATGCTTTTTAAAATGTGTAAGTTATATTTATTAGAACATTCAATCGCATTCATTTCAGCAAACATTTCTGAGACATCATATTGTGTTTATCCATATCATTTTTTAATGATCTTAAATATATTTAGATCAGGACCTTTCATTAAGCATTTTTTTTAAAAATATATTTGTTAAGTTAGCTAAAATTATAAAATAAACACAAAGAACAATTGAAATTCTTAAACCGTTTTTAAATATTTTCTTATAAAGTTTTTATCTGGTTTAGTAAATCGTATATTTTATATCAGTTTAAAAACAACATCACATATCATTACTGTTCATCATTTTATATATGTTCTCTTCTATCCAGTCTATGAATAAATACACTCGCGTAAATGCATATGGCCGATTTGAAAAACAAGATCCCACAGTATAAGATAATAACCCAATTTGGGTGTTAAGGTCAGCATTAACCAATGGTCCGCCTGAGTCACCCTAACATAATTATATTAAAAATTATATGGATTTGTAATTATTAAAAAATAATTTATCATGTTATTATTGATCCTTACATGACAACCACCACGTTTGCCCATACTCCATGCACACATATCAGTATAAGTTATTGAATCAAAATAAAGTATATCTCGACAATCCATATTCTTCTGAGTTTTAAATGGCATCACCTCCAATTCCTTGGTGTATCCCCAACCTAATAAGTACGTCTTCACATTCTCTCCAATTCTTGCAAAACCATTTAATGCAATTTTGCTGGTTCTTATATTATCAAACTTAAATCCCACCTTGACTTTTACCAAAGCTATATCATTGCCAAATAATTCTCCGAAGACATAATTTTCATTTACTTTTATATCAGCAACTTCACGACGTTCTCCGTCTACATTCCATACATTTGACCCAGAAAATATGGTAAAGTCAGTAGGAAGTTTATATTCAATGAAACAATGTGCTGCCGTTAGAACAACATGTGTATGTATTATAGAACCGGTACAATGATGCTTCCATATATCTTTTTTAATTTGATCAAGTGATACTATAAATGGTATTGGTGTTTTCGCCTCTCCTTCCCATGGATCCAGAACAAAATTTGAGACCGTTTTTACGGTCAAAATAATAACAAAAACACTGAAAATATTTTATCAAAGTTTTAGTTTAGAATGAATTATGTTTAATTTGAACAAACATTTTAATATTTATTTAGTTTAAATATATAACAAATAATTTAAAATTCCGTACTGAATTTGTTGGTAATAACAACAACAAATAATCAAGCATAGCCAATACGAATTAAATCGGTTAAACTAATTTTAAACATTTAATTTCGATTGCACGTGTATATTTACGGTATTAAACCGTAAATAATAGCATAAATACCAAGTAGTAATTACTGTAGACTAAAGCCTAAACGCTTTATAATAAAATAAGTGATGAATATTTTGATGTGTAGTATTAAGGTTTTACTTGGACTAAATTAGCAACCTTATTACTAATGATTTACCAGTTAAACAATAACTTTAAAGTGATAGAAAACTATACTAAATGCACAATTTCCTGACTAAACCAGGAAAGTACTTTTGCACATCTGTTGATATAACTCTCAACACTTCCACTCGAAGACATTGTGATATCATCATAGCTGCCTGTGAAAGATAAGTTACTTAACGGTGTTATGGCCTTGTACTATCCATGTTCAATCACTTTCTCTTCCATAAAAATGTATGTATATCCGTCAAATCTGATTTCGGCTCTCTTTCTCTCGCTCTCTCTCTCCCTTTCTCTCTCTTTTTCTCTCTATCCTAAACTGTGTTCTAAACTAATCTTTCAGTTTTAAGCTTTTCGACTTTGTGCACATACATTTTGGAAACAAACTGTGAACAACTGGATATGAGTAATCCCTTTTTTAAGAATCATGAAAATAAAATATGAAGAGAGCTTATATGTAACACTTCGTTCAATAATGTGTGTGACTGACACATAGATGGCGGCACTAATACTAAATAAATATTTTTTTTTCGAAAGTGGCAACCTTTTTAGGCTTACTGTCAAAATCATATGTTAATCCGAACATTTGTTTACAAGTTACAGTGCTTTTTTTATTGACGCTTCTTTTGAGTTTTCAAAAAAAAATGAATTCAAAGCAATTCCGTGTGCTGATTTATCATTGTTTTTTAATGAATAAAAATACTGTTCAATGCCAGGAATGGCTTGAAAAACATTATTCGGACTCTGCTCCATCAAAAAGAAGCATTTATTATTGGTATGCCGAATTCAAACGTGGTCGTACAGACACCGATGACATTCCATCCACTGGACAGCCAAATGACGCTGTTATTCCGGAAAACGTTGAAAAAACACTGAAAATCATTATGTCCGACCGTAAAGTGAAAGGGAGGGAGATTGCTGACATTCTACAGATATCAGCAGGCAGTGTACACACCATAATACACGAACATTTGAGTATTAAAAAGGTGTTTTCCAAATGGGTGCCGCGTTTGCTCAAACCGGAGCAAAAACAACAACGAATCGATGATTCAAAGAGCTGTTTGGACATGTTTACGCGCAATAAGTCGGAGTTTTTGCGTCGGTAAATCACGATGGATGAAACATGGATCCACCATTTCACTCCAGAGTCAAATCGGCAGTCTGCTGAATGGCATGCAGCCACTGCCTATTCAAACTGCCTATTTTCAAAAAACTCTTTTTTTTTGGTATGTGCTTTAAATATCGAACTTGAGAATAATTCAAGAACCTGTAAACCTGTGTAATAAAAATGGGGTTAGGTTAGGTTAGGTTATACCGGTGATCCCTAGTGGATCCACTTATGCCTATTGAACCTTTTGCGAAGCATAAAATGCTATTTAAAGCCCGATCCTATAACTCGTGCAGGTCCTCAAGGAAGGAGGCTCCTAGAGTACTAAATCGCCGACGTGCATGAGCTGGACAAAAACACAAAAGATGAGATGCGCTCTCATCGTCCTCCCCACAGCTACGACAGATTTGGTTGAAAGGAAAACCTAGGGGTTGATCAGGTGAAATTTAGATATAGCTTGCAAATTAACCGACAATTTTGGAACATATTTTTTTTTGAGACTTTTTTATTTAACAATGCATATATTTATACATTATACATTTATAATGTATATATTATATTATATATTATCATATAGCAAGTTCTATTTCTTTTTCTAGTCACTTCATTTTTAGCTATACTGCAGTTGATTATCGGAACCAGTAGCGAGGCGTCAGCTTTTTGGCAAGGTGTTCACAATTTGATCAAAACAGAATTCCGACTATAACGTATTCCCCCTACTCCTAAGTTTTGTCCTTTCCACAAGCAAATAGCGTAAAAGACCAACAAAACAATTTATTTAAATGTTCGCAGCCTATGATCCACTGGTTTTTATGGTAAATAGCTGTAGAAAAACGGCGACTTACCACAGATTTCGACATTTTTATATCAGGTACCAAATTCTTTATATCTGGAGTTGGTCTATTCATTTTATGAATTAAAACCATTTTTTCAGAAGATCGTTTAAAAAAAGATATTTGAATCAAATCTTTAATCACACATTTATCCATTTCTAAATATTATTTTTCACTTCAAATTTCTTTAATTTTTTTCTTTACTTTTGCCATTTTATTTTATACTAGCATAAAATTGCAATAATGACTTTGTTTTTGGTTTATTTCCAATCTCTACATAAGAGTAAGAAACTCTCATGTATTCATTTACTCTTTTACTTTATATTTACTATGCGCGGTTCATTTTTTTTACTGAACCATCTGCCCATATAAAACGGCAACCGTGACTTTGATTATATTTGCACGCTTTGTATGAACTTGCGGTTCAATTTAGTCGACTGAACCTCTCGTCGAATGTAAAGCGATTTTAACTCAGTTATTTTTTTCTCTTTTGTATTTACTTTGCATAACATTGGAGGTTCACTTTTTTTATTGAACCGCTTGCACGCATTAATTTAAGAGTTATGATTATTTTACGTACATATTTTACGGGACTTGTTTTCTCTTTTATTTTTATATTTGTTTGTATGTTTTGTGTTTACTCAATATTGAACATAGTCCCAATGTGAATGTTATTTCATTTGCATGCTTTGTAAGCAGCGCGGTGCAGTTTTTATTCTGAATCTTAGTATATTTTAATAGGAATGTGTTTTCTCTTTTATTAATTATAAGTAATGTTGGGTGTAACTTACATATGTATGTGTGATTTTGTTTGTATTGTACGTTTTGTGTTTATGTTAATCTGTTTGGAAAAGGTATTATAAACAATGTTAAGTAGCAAAATAGCGAAATTATTTACCTAATAGAAAATAGATCTAAAAAGGAAGCTTTGTTAAGGTGTTCAGTGAACACTCTGAACCATTCGACGCCTCGCCTCTGTTCGGAACTATCCCAGAGATATACAAAACTTTAATTTTATACTGCAGTATAAAAAATATAAAAAATTAATCAGAATAATTAAAAGTTCATATTAAAGGCAATACTACAAAGCACACAAAGCTCATGTGTGGCATTCTTTTTAATATCTTTTGCAAAGGATATTTTAGCAAACATATCATAGCCTTTTGTGGGATTATAAATCCGTAAAGCAGATAAAAAATATGCTTGTTAACATGTCAGATTAGCTTTGTCTAGCAAATTTTACGTCAACTACATAAAGTAAAGTTTACTTGGCTTGTATCCTTTGACAAAGGATAAACAAGCTAAAAGTAAACAAAAAGGAAAACGAGTTGACATTAAAACGTTTGACAGTTATTTGGATATTTTTCAAATATATTAAGTACACAAGACCTAGCATTGCGGGACTGACTTAATACTAATTTTTCAACTTAATTTTGGGATAAAAAATGAAAATACTCGTTTATTTTAATATTTTAATCAGTTTATATTGTACCTATATATGGGAATATATTGGTACGCAGAAACATAAGAGTAAGTTTTAAAACCGGTCTATTGTAAAAGTTTACTTATTGAACAATGACGTTCAGTATAGCAATATTTAATTTTCCTTACCACTGGTGGGGGGAAACAATATATAATTGATGAGGCATTGATTGTAAGTCAATAACTGATTTTATTTAAAGTTTCTTCGTCTTTTATATAAAATAAAATGCAAGCATAATTAATTTTATGGTGCAAGATATACAATAATTACTTAAATTAATTTATTTTTCATTTCGCACAAATTGCTTACTAAGCACTAGGTGCGAGCGATTAACTTATGACATAATTCTAAATTTTTTTTGATTCGTCAACACTTATCCTTTAGTAATATATCTATAAATATATCATAAATAATAAATTTATATCGAAGGTAGAGAAGAGAACTTCTTTAAATAACATTAAAAAAAGACACAGTAACATACCACCTAGTAAAATAAAAAATTTATATGCTACTCATGTTAGTATTTACCCTTTTAAGTAGGGCCTTCACTCTCTAAAAATACACATTATGTCATTTATTTCTTTTTATTTTGAAGTAGTTTCTTTACAACAAAAGGAAATATTTTTAATAAAGAACACACCAGTTTTATAATCTTTGCAACTCCACTACAGTATTATTTAGCAGATCGAAGATAAATTCTGATATAATAAAAAACAAGTACCTTTCGTATCAGTACTTCTTGCTGAAAGTTAGAGATGCTAATTGATACTCAATTACTTTTGGCGTTAGGCGATAATCATATCTTATCACTATACCAAATAAAGTGCGATATTGCATATATACTTTCAATCCATAATTTTAAAGTTGATCCACAAAAAGTGATCGTTTCTAAAACATGATCAGTTCCAATAGAATAAAGGATTCTGCAGCTAATTTGGGCCTTTCCATTCGCATCCCTCTTAGACCATGTACGTTAGAGTTCAAAAAAAACAACTTAACGCCTTCTATGCCACTGAACAGACTTGTCCAGACTCAAATTCAAATACATAGGCGCAAAATTATTCAACTCACTCCACAACAGCTCTAGTCTAGATATTATCCGACTATCAATTTATCAATTTGTGCAATTGTAGAATTACAAAGATTTTCTCACTAATTGTGTATGATTATTTTCCCTTTACTTCACGTACCAAGTTAAAATAGTTCATCCTTTAAATTT